GGGGGGGCTTTACTCCAGCTCGGCCAGCCCGCTGCTCACCAGAGGAAGGTAAACCAGCTCCTGGTTCTCGTTGTAAAGCAGCATGGTCAGCTCCGGTTCATGGGCCTGTGGGGGAGGAGGGGGGTCACAATCCAGATTTATGTACTTCCGATCCGATCCCGGCCTATCAGAGCATGTGTTAAAGTTTAAAGTTATTTATCTATTTACTTAGGTGTCAGACTCATGTTGAACAGGGATTTACTCTGATAACAACTTAATGGTTAGGACACAGACCTGTGGGTCAGGAGATGCTAATGCTAATGCTCGTGTGGGATCAGACTTAAAAAAAAAAAAAACTGGATCTGGAGTCTGGATCTATATTTTCTCCTGCCGGCTGATACGCATTTTTTGCGAATATCGGCAGCCGATCTGAAGGACGTTCTTTCAATAGTTTAAGGAAAAATCTACATATATTATTATGATTTCCATTTTCACATAACTGTAAATTTAGAGAGAAAACCACTCTAGTTGAGAGGCGACTTAATGGTTGTGTGCAGATTCAGACTTAGTGTGAAATTAGATGAGGAATTTTTTTTAGTAGTTTTAGGTGAAAACTATCCGATTTATCCAAAACAAACGTTCCAATAAGAATTCATTTTGGATAAATCAGATATTAGGGATGTCCCGATCCCGGCCTATCAGAGCATGTGTTAGTTTAAAGTTATTTAGCCAATTTACTTAGTTGTCAGACTCATGTTGAACAGGGATTTACTCTGATAACAATTTAATGGTTAGGACACAGACCTGTGGGTTAGGAGATGCTAATGCTAATGCTCGTCTGGGATCGGACTTAAAAAAAAACTGGATCTGGAGTCTGGGTCTGCATTTTCTCCTGCTGGTCGATCCGATCCAGATATCGGATCGGGACAAGCCTATCCAGGAGCTTCATCTTCTATCTATTTTGAAGGCGTCAGGGTGTCTAAATCTGTAACATTTAAGTACCCGACGGTCCCGTAACTCATTGGCAGCCAAAGACGTCTATAGACGTCTTTTATGTTTTTCAACGAGAGTGGCTGGGGGACGATCTGCTAAAGCTTGTCCGTAAATATCAGGCTTCTAGACAGAGTATGTACTAACAAATTGACCCTCTAGGGGGCTGTGCCATATTTGATGGGAGATGAGCATAGACTGTAGGCAAATAAGAAAAAGGGAACGGTTCGCTATGAGAGAACATGTCGCCGGTGAGACGCAAGTCCAGGAAGAACGGAATAAGGTAGAAACACATTTTTTTTCCTGATGAAAGAAGAGAGTCTACTCTTTCTTTTGGTGTGTTCGGTGTTTGCATAGTCATAGCACAAACTATTCTGTGACTCTTGAAAGATCAGTAAAATGCTCAAAAAACTCTGGCAGTATGGGACTCTCTGTTCTGAAAATGGCTGCCAGCCAATGAGTTAAAGAGGAGGAATTTACCACCACGGTGGCGGTGAGGCTGCAGTGCAGCAGGTCGATCATGCGCATGGCGGCCCTGGTGCTCCAGGCCGGGCTGTAGGGCAGAACGCTGGCCTCCCGGCTCACGCTGGGCGCCCTGAGGCCCGACACCCGCACCTTCAGGGCCCGGGACGGGAACCGCAGCAGGTCGGCCGGGATCCGCCGCAGCCTGGGGGGAGGAAGAACGTCTCTATAATAATAATATAATATATATATATATATTATTATTAGCCATTAGCCGCAGCTAGCAATTCAAGGCTAACGTCTTGTTAATGATCATAAACAATAAACATATCAGAGAGAAGGGGGTAGTATAGATACTTTTGAAAATGAGTATCGTATCCGGATATAACGTTTTAGTATCAATACTTTTTTGAGTATCGATACTTTTGACAACCTTAGTCTTTGGACAGCTTTCAGTCCCTGTGGTGCTTTGGCTCAAAGGGCCTCTGGCAGAGTTAAACTCCTGTTTGTGAAGGGGGGAGAGAAGTGTTTTATATTCCTACTTGCTGGAGGGGAGCGTGTCGTCGGACCCGAAGTCGACGTGGCGCACCAGGAGGGCGACGGGTTCCACGCCGGTGATCCTCAGCAGCCGCGCCCGGTAGAACCGCCCATCGCTGTACTCCGCCAGACACGGCCCCCCTGGAACCACACAGGGACCGGAGTCTAACCCACAACCTCTTCATCTACCAACCAGAAGACGGCTGAACCCCAGAGGGAGCCTCAGAGATCCGAATATGTGGAAATATGTATTCCATGTACATTTCACACAAGTTTAAGATACTTTTGAATCTCTGGACTAGGGATGTCCCGATCCAGCTTTTTTCACTTCCCATCCAATCATTAATTATTATTATTAATTATTAAATAATAATAATTACTCTCTTTTGTGCACCATTAAGATACAAGCTAGCAGCAGCACACAAATTTTTCCGAATCATCTAAAAAAATACATTATTATCCACACAAAGGCCGCTTTAAACGCTCTGGAACACAGAATAGTTTCACAGATAGTGAAAACTGGGACGTGATGCTTTGCCCTAAAAGACAGAGCAAAGTCACAGAAAGCAGCACTGTTTTTGTTCATATTTTTGTCCCCCAAAGAATGCTCGGATGTTGTGTGCTCTGGAATGTTTCTCTCTTTTGTGCACCATTAAGGTCCAAGCTAGCAACAGCACACATTTTGCCAAATCATCTAAAAAAAAAAAATCCACCTAAATCTAGGGATGTCCTGATCCAGCTTTTTTCCCTTCTGATCCCGATCCCGGCCTATCAGAGCATGTATTAAAGTTTAAACTTATTTATCTACTTACTTAGTTGTCAGACTCATGTTGAACAGGGATGTACTCTGATAACAACTTAATGGTTAGGACACAGACCTGTGGGTTAGCAGATGCTAATGCTAATGCTGGTGTGGGATCGGACTTTAAAAAAAACTGGATCTGGAGTCTGGATCTGCATTTTCTCCTGCCGGCCGATCGATCCGATCCAGATATCGGATCGGGTCCGGCCTAACTCTGGACATCAGCTTCTCACCGAGAGGAAAGCTGCTGAGCCTCGGCAGATCGTGGGCGTTTGCGTTGATCCGGTTCAAAGCTTCATCCAAAGTCTCTCCGTCCGCCTCCCCCTCCTCCGTTTGGTCCAGAGGCCAAAGGAACAACTGCAGGAAACAACAGATCCAGGATCAGCCCCCAGAGCCCCGTTAGACCGGTGGGCACCTCGTTAGGGGTCAGCAGATGCGATTTAGAGTTTCCCCTACACAAACTGACATCTGTAGCTACTTAAATCTGCATTTAGAAGAAAAATTAGACGTTGATTAGTCTAATTTACTAAATGGGAAGTTGCTTCTGATTTAATCTACATGCCTTAAT